GAAAAGCAGAGTGCGTTTGGCTCACACACAGTTCAGGAGGCTGGTTAGTCCAACGCAGCGGGGCTGCGTCTGGTGACGGCCTTCCTGCCGTGCCCAACGAGGCAGAAGGAATCGCATCCCTCTGTATAGACTGCAGATTAGTTTTGCCCATTTTTGAGCTGAACAGAAAGAGAATCACACACAAGGCCTTCTTTTGTCTGGCCAGTCCCGCTCAGCTTTGTGTCCGGGAGGCGCAGCACGCGGTGCGGAGCTGTGACGCTCGGTCTCACTGCACTGGCGCGGGGGTTGCGTTTGTGGCCCTGTCGCACTGTTTCCATTCTGCCTTCCAGGAAACAATGGATTCAGCTCAGTGTTTACTCCCACCTATTCACTGTTACGTGCAACAGTGAAGCAGCGTTCTTCTGTACGTCTTTGGAGCACATTTACTCAACCTCACTGCTGAATGAACACACGGGAGAGGAACTGTTGCGTCCTAGGGTATGTGTGCGTTCACTTCAGCGGCTGCCAAGATGCTCCAAAAGCGGTTGTATGTGTCGACACAGCTAGCATGAGGAGCTACAGTGTTCCACATCCTCACTTGTATTTTCTATTTCCAGTCTTCTTAATTTTGCCGTGTGGATGAGTGTGTGATGGTATTTCAGTGTGGCTTAATTTTGATTTCCCTAATAACTGGGGCCTTTTCTTATATTTATTAGCCATTTTGATATTATCTTTTGTGAAGTGTCTGTTTTCAACTTTTACTTACCTAAATATTATATTATCTCTCTTTGCCTTAATGATTTGAAAAATATATTATGAACGTTAGTCTTTTGCCGTATATATATATTGCAAGTTTCTTCTCCTCTGCAGCATGCTGTTTCTCTTTCTTCATGAGATTTTTTTATACATAGAAGTTACTGATTTGAACAACCTTTCGATTGCGTTTAGTATATTTTATCCTGTCTGAGAAATACCTTCTTACCATAAAGCCATATGTTATTTTCTAGAAACTGTTAATTTAACTTTCACGTTTAGATCTATAATGCATCAAAAATTAATTTTTCTGTATCCTTTGGGTTGCAGTGACCATTTTTATTTTTTCTTATATTTATATTCAATTTACCAGGTACTATTTTCTTTAAAGTACCATAATTTCTTATATTCCATGGTGTCACCTCTGCCAAAAATTAAGTGCTTATTTATGCTTGAGTCTGTTAATAGACTTTCTGTAGTGTCCCCATTGGACTATTTATCTTTGCGCCAAGACTACACTGCTTTGCTTTAAGTAACATGCCTTGTCAAAAGACAAAATCACAACAGATTTAGTTTAAAGATCTAACTGGATTTCATTAATGATTCCAGATTACAGGATTGTCTCATTTTATAAAATGGAATTGACACTCCGATGAGCTGAGCAGAGGAGTTTGGCTTAATAGGCAAAACAAGGGCTGAAGAAAGCAGAAACAGGGAACTGAAAGTGGATTGGCTATTTCAAAGTTACCTTTTTTATAATGTTAAAACAGAGGGGACTTCCTTAATGTGCCAGTTTAGGTAAATTGGGCCTTACTGATGGATTTATGTGAATCTCCTGGGATTTTTGGGAAAATCGGCCCATTTCCAAGCTCAATTTGATTGTGTAGCACCCGGCAAGAGCGGCCGCACTGCGGTCCGTGTGGCCTCGGGGGCCTGGGGCGAGAGCTCCCATACAGGGCCTCCGGTGGGTTTCGTTTAACAGCCTCTATGGTAAATATTGACATCTCATAATGTTAAGTCCTCAAACTCTGTTTTCTCATTAAAATTATTTAAGTTATTCCCGATCCTTTGAATTTGCACGCACATTAGAATGAGCTTTCCAGTTTATGAAAAAACCCAAACCAAAAAGGAAACAAAACACAGAGGACTTACACGGGACCAACACTGAACCTTAGCCTCAGTCATGGAAAACTGACGTGGCCATGGAGCTGAGTCTTCTAACCCTTAAGAACTGTACATTCTTTGATTGGTTTAGACCTAGCTTAATTACTCTCAATAATATTTTATAATTTTTTGTGTAAATGTCTTGTGATCTTGAGAGTGGGTATTTGGTTTATTTTATTTGTTATTATAGCAAGTATAATTTTAAAATTGCATTTTCTAATTTTCTGTTGCTGCCATGTAGCAAGACAACTTATTTTTGTATGATAACCTTGGATCTAGAGACTGCTAATTTCAGTTATTAATATGCTAATTTACTCGTGGATTCTTGTGATTGTCTTACACACACAATCATGTCATCCAGGGATAAAGAGAACATCTTTTCTTTATTTCATTAATGATACTTCTAGCTTTTTGCCTTCTTGCCTTAACTGTATTGGTCGGAACCTAAAGTAGAAAGTTGATGGCACGTGAGAGGAGTGGAGACATCTTTACCTCAGTCTTGGTCTCCAAGGAGACTTCAGGGTTAGCCGCCAGCGTGACGCTGCTTGACCTTTGCCGGAGACATCCTTTCTCAGAGGGAGGATGTTCCCTTCTGTTACATGTAAGCTGAGGATTTTAATTGTTGTCAGAGGTTAGACTTTAATTCTTTTCCTGCATTTTTAGAATCATGTGATTTTTCTCCTTTATTTTGTTAATGTAGTAATTCATCTTGATTAATTTTCCAGTATTAAACCAACTTTGCATTCTTGGAATAAATGAAACTTGGTTATTACCTAATATCGTTTTTACATATTTCTTTATTTAGTTTGCTATTTTACTGAGGATATTTATATCTCTAGTCATGAGAAGGATTGTTTACTATTCTCATTTATTTATTTTAATGATTCATGAATATTTTGATGATCAGGTTATTAAGTGGGGAGTCCCCTCTTTTGCTATACTCTGAAAGAATATGTGTAAGATTTGCATTATTCTTTCATTTCTTAAAAAATTCTCTGGTGAAGCCATCTGGTGTTAAAAAGTTTTCTTTGTAGAATAAGTTTTAATCATAAATTTATTTAAAAGTTATAGGACTATTAATGAAAACAGTAGTAGAAAACTACTTATTGTTGCTGTAGTTTTGGTTGGTTGTGTTTTCCTAGGAATTTGCCCAAAATTATTGCCATGAATTTTTTATAATATTCTCTGTTTATCATTTTTTGTCTGTATCTGTAGCTTTATTCCTTTTTTATTCTGATAGTGTTTATTTATGTCTTCTTTCTTTTTTGTGATCAGCACTGTTAGTAGTTTATTATTTTTTAACTTTCTGACTTTGTTGCTATTAGATCTTTATTTTCTATTTCACAATTTTCTGCTATTGTTTTAACAATTCATTCTTTTCACTTATTTGAGTTTAATTTGTAATTATTTTTCACACAACACTCATTGTATTTTCTGCCTTTCTTCTTTTCTCATATGTGCATTTAAAGCTATACATTTTCCTCCAGACACAACTTTAGAAAAAATTCATAAATCTGATGTGTTGTATTTTCATTATTATTTAGTTCAAACATTTTCTATTATCCATGGTGAGTTTTTTGACTCGTGACTATTTAAAATGTCATTGCTTAATATTTTTGCATTTAAAGATTTTCTACTTTTCTTTTTGTTATTAACTTCTAGCTTCACTGCAATCATAGAATCACACTTGCTGTAATTTTAGAGCTTTGAAATTTGTTAAGACTTGGTTTATGCCCCAGCATGTAGCCAATTTTGACAAATATTTCATTTATACTTAAAAAGAATAAATATGTGATGGCTTATTTCCATTCTTTCCTTGAGTTTGGACCCTGGTCACTCTCCTTTTGTTTTTAGTTGAAATTTTTGATATGATTATTAATTCATATGTAGCTATAAGAAACAGCACAAATTCCTGTACTTCTCAAGTGGTGACATTTTACAAAGCTGGAGAATATCACAGCCAGTATTGACACGGATGTGATGCTATTCCCCTTGCCATGACCTTGCAAGCAGCCTGGTGTTTGTCGGCGACAGAGGAGAGGTTTTCAGGCCAACGGGGCAGAGTGGCTTCCCCAGTCAGGCTCCTTGCTATCTTTGTGCCCCTTCTCCTATTTGGCAGGTCCCCAATTTATCCCCCTTGCTGGTGGTCTGGTACTGCCTGTGGTTGTCAAAGATTCCTTCTTTGTCGGGGTGGGAATGAGCCTGCCTGGATGAGCTCTGCTTACACTGGGATTGGGATGCCAGGTCTTCTCTTAGAAGATGCTTCTGCTATTGGTCCAGTCCTGGAGCCACCAACCAGTCTGCCCACCACTTCCCCCTTCAGAGTCCTCCTTAGCTTGTCTCATGTCATTTCCAGGGTCTGCAGTTGTGCACTCAAGGAAGAGCAAGGAGAAGTGAGTCTACACCATCTTGTCTAAATCTGAAGTCTCTAATTTTTAAAAATATTTTGTCTAGATTATTAGTTGTTTTCAAAAAGGTAGATAATAACACTAGAAAGTCAGTAACAGAAGAAAAACTGAAAAAGCCACAAATATACAGAAATTAAACTGCACATTTTTAAATGACAAATGGGTCAAAGGCGAAATCACGGGGAGTTAGAAAATATCCCAAGACAAATACAAAGAAAACAACATGTCAAAACTTACGGGGTGCAGAAAAGCCGTGCTAAGAGGAAAATTAATGGTGATAAATGCTTACATTAAAAAAAGAAAAAGCAGGAACATACATTTTTAAAAAAAGAAAAAGCAGGAACATACATTAAAAAGAGAAAAAGGGTCTGAAATGAACAACTTGATTTTATACCTGAGGGAACTAGAACAAAAACAAACTAGAAAAGAAGGAAATGAAGATTGGAGCAGAGATAAGCAAAATAGAGAATAGAAAAACAACAAAGAAAATAAATGAGACTAAGGGTTGGTTCTTTGAAAGATCAACAAAATTGAAAGAGAGAATTAGAGAGAATTAAGAGAAAAATAGAGAGAATTAAGAGAAGACTATGTAAATGATACAAGGCAACACCAACACTATTCTGGTTAAGATGCTGCTCTACCCATCACTCCTGATCCATCCTGCATAAACCTTTCTTCTACTGCCTCTCTTTGCAGAAATCCCTGTCTACATCTGCTCTTCTTGAGCCTCACAACAGCCTGTTTCAGCAGCTGACTGGAGGGCTCGCCCAGCACACCCTCAGCTGAAAATCTGCATCATTCCACAAGCTTGATTCTGCAGGGAAAGTGCAGTGTGGCGGGAACAAGGGTCGCTGGGAAGCGCTGTTCCGGCTGGCATCAGTGAGGGAAGGGGGCAGACACTATGATCAGGCAAATATACAAGTGATATCAACTCTTCTGAAGACAGGAGGGCAAGTGAAACAAAGGAGGACCCTTGAAAAGGATCTGAAGGTGAAGGCTCTGGCCACCCTGGGCCATCCTGAGCAGGGCACCTGTGCCCACCCTCTGCCGAAATAGGCCTCCAAGGGTAACTTCTGGCTTCTCTGCGGTGGATTTCAGACCTCAGAGCATAAGCAAGCAGGAACACACTATTGGCTCCAGGCCACATTTTATATTTGCATTTGCATTTGTACTTGTGGGAAAGCTTACTTGTTTTAAAGGCACTGATAAATGTTTTTAGTTCTTTTCCTGTAATACTGAGCTATTATTAAAATATCCCCAAGTCTAGATAATTTTTTTAAATGTGGTATAGTTATTTTGTGCTTCATCATTGATGATTATACAAATTTGAATTGCAATGCAAATGTTTTTAACGCACCAGAGTTGACGTAGGTGTTGGCACTAACTCAGCATTTCCCCAGCTCCCACCGAAATTGAAATACTGCTGCTGACTGACGCCCCGTGTTCCATTAACAGTGGCTTCAGAGAGCCAGGGGACTTCTGGGCCACAAGGTCAGCTGGGTCAGATGGGGTCTTGCAGTTCCTGTAATTGCCTTACCTTAAGGTTTTAGACTAATGCTAAGAAGTAGCCCTGAATTCTCCGAAATTACATCGTTTAGAGTACTGTTTTAAGCACATCTTTTATATACAAATAAAAAACAAGCTGGTTGGTTTCTTAATAAGGGATATACTTGTGGAGAAAAATGAGTGTGAAGTTTCTGTTTCCAGAGAATGGAAGCAGTGGAGGGAAGGTTTTGGCAGTTAAAGATGCCAGGAAAGTTTTTGAAAAACATTCACCTACTCTTAAAATTTTGTAAGAAAAGTTCCTTTTCATGTAAAGGAAGCGCTTTTCTCTTTAAACCTATCATTATTACTCTTAACTTTTAATATTTAAGCAGCTGGCAGAGTTCTGGAGAAAGTGCTTTTTAATGCAAATTCTTAAAAGGAACCCAGTGTGCTCTCCGTTTCCCACAATTCTTTCACATCACTGCTGAAGCTGCCAAGGTCAGAACTGAAATGTTACTCACAGTTCCACTCCGTGTGCGTGAACTCTAAGCCAGTGGCGTTTAGAGAGTAACTGCACAAGGCACGATCATCACGCTGCTTGGGGAAGGGGACGGGCCTTGGGGAGGGAATGGGCACAGGCCATGGAAGCTCAGGGGCTGAACGTGCTCCACAGGTGTGGGCTGGAAACAATCCAGTGTTTGGATCCAAAACTATGCAGCTGGGGGAAGGGTGGCTGCACCTTCCCCTTTGGGGACCGAAAAGGGTTGGGTTGCAGGGGCTTGGCCCTCCTCCCCTGGCACTGGCCTCTCTGTACCCACTGCTCCAGAGAGCTTTGATCTGCTGATGGATCCCCTGCCCGACCCGCACAGCAGCCGGAATGCCCTCGAAAGGCTCAGGGCGGCTCCGGCCTCCATCCCTCGGGCTGGGCCAGGCCCTGGCAAGCTCAGAGCCCGCTGCGTGACTCGCCTTTGGCGCCTGGTCGGGGCTCCCACTCTGCCCGCCTTGCAGGCCTCCCCTCCCAAGCGCAGTCCAGTAAAAACAACTATTCACAGCACTTGTTAGCAGTGGAAGACAGACTTTCTACCCGGCAGCAGGCGATTGCTGCAGGGCCTTCTGCCGTGGGCCCTGGGGAGGGAGGCTGCACTCAGCGACGCCCACGACGACAGTGGGGATGCATGGCCAGGAGCAGGGTGGCACTGGCAGGTGGAGGACGGCTCAGAGGCGACAGCAGGAGCGAGGGTTTCTGGCTAAACTGACTTGGTGGGATTTTTGCCCAGGGCAGGCCAGGCATCAGGGCACCACAAGGGTGGTTACATGCCACCGCGGAGGCATCTTCACCAAACTGAGCAGGATTCTTGCCTGTTAGGGCCGGAATTCGCAGGGCCCCAGGACAGAGAGACAGAGTCACCAAGGCTGTAATTATCAAAAAGGAGTTTTATTGTCTAGCTTGAGCTAGGGTCCAAGCCTGAGAGCAGGCACTGTGGCCTCTGGTTAGGACACGGACCCCCATGTGCAAGTGAGACTTTATACCTAAGTTACTTACCGGCTGATCATGCATGTGCCCTCTACAGTGATTGGTGGGCCCTGGCCAGTCATGCATCTGCTCAGCCTCTTACTTCATCCTGCCCGGGATAGGCTCTAACCTGTTCCGGGTCCTAGCTGAGAGGCTCTGGTTTTAGCGTTTTTCTCTGCATCCCATAATGCACCCATAATGCCCTGCGGTTAGCAAGCAAGCAGAAAACAGAAGCTGAAAGGCATCCGTTATCCTAATAGCCCAGTATCTTACATGCCCACACTGGATTCATCTAGAAAGAGAGAAAGAAGCCCAAGGTGAAGCCCCTGGAAAAGAACCCAGGAGGCAGACTCAAGTTTTGGTCAAAGGAGAGGGTGAGTCTTTGTCACGTTGTCTATGCTTGTCATGGAAGCGAGACTCCGAGCCGGCAAGACCGGTGTATGGTCAGGCACTGCTCAGCGATAGGGGTGTGCCCTGAGAAATGCACCATTAGGCGATTTGGTCATCTTGTGCACACCTTGGAGTGCACTTACCCATGCCTAGGTGTGGCCTCCTGCACACCTGGGCACCTGTGCAGCATGCGACTGCACTGAGCATCACGGCAGTTGTGGCGTGATGGGAAGTGTCTGAACATAGCTGAGTGTAGAAAAGCCATGGTGAAAACGTGGCATTCTAGTCTCAGGGGACCACGATCACATACATGGTGGTTATGTAGCACCTGACCGTTAGGCAACAGCTGGGCGTAAGTTGTCTTTGAGAAGCAAGAGGCGGACGCAGAAAGCAGCTCCCAGCTGACGGGACCTGCACAGGAATCCAGGGCTCCCCGCACTGTGGCCTCGGGCCTTCGGGGGGCACCCAGGAACCCTCCACCACCCACCACACAGTGGCCGGCTGCAGCCCACACCCTCTGCTCCCTCTCATTTCCCCTCTTTCCTCCTGTCCTAGATGTATTCGTCCTCTGTTCTTTCTCTCTTTCCCCCTCTCTCCCTTGGGCACCCGGGGCGTGGGGGCAGCTTTGCCATAGGCAAGGTTTAGGTCTTTTCCAAGTTGAGGAAAAGTTTTCCAAGTTGAGTATGTACTGTAGTGTCTATGTCCTCCTTAGCCATATAACCTGCAACGACTGTGCTGGCATTGTGATCAGCTTCCTGTCTTTTTCTGTGTCATTGTGCCACTTACCTCATTTTCCCGTCTGCCCTGCGGGCTTCCCAGAGTGGTGCTAGGGAGACTCACGCGCTTTACAGAAAACTGACGGTGGTCTCCCGGCCACGGCAGTTTGGAGTCAACCTCCCCTCGCCTAGCTCAACGTGCTCCATCCCAAGAGTGGAGTTGAAAGGGAAATTATGCTGAATTGTAAATGTCTGCTAAGGACTTCATGCTTCTGTCCTTTAAAGGGTGCATGCACATGCCCACAGAAGAGTCACACAGAAAACTTAAACAATACATGTCTGAGGCTGGGGGCAGGATCCTTGCAAACAATGTATAGGCGGCGCCATGTTCTGTCACCTCTGTGCAAGGAGGGAGTCCCTTCAGATCACCCACTGGGAAGTTGACCCAATCTCTCTAAGCTTCCTCCCTCCCTTTTGCTCAATTAGGTGCATCAGGAAGCCGAGGGAAGGAAAGCCAAAAGGAGGGACTATCCAACCACAAAACAACTCGGTAAACCACACGGAGCAAAGATCGGATAGTACACGAAGTCAAGAAAGGTTGCGAGGGGGCGGGTACACAGGACGGAGCTAATGCTGGCAGGACGGCAGCCCCGACTGACTGACGGGGACTTTCAGGGCACCCTGGCAGCCAGATTTCCTGTGGCCCCGGCTGCATACAGGCCTATGCAGCAGTTGATCATAGACAGTGAGGGCTATAGAAGGAACAATATTTTGAGGGCTATTTTTAAATAAAGTGTAGGCCTTAAGGAATTGCAGAAGCAGCTGTCGGGATCACCTTACAAATTGTCACCACAGCCCTGATGTTGTGAAGTGCCCTGCACACTGCAGTGCTGTGGGCACAGCGTGGAGCCTCCTGACATTACAGGCGGAGCGTGTGAGTGGGGCAGGCACAGAACTTTCCTCCGGCCACTTTTAGCTCAAGTACTTCATTTTATGCCCGGTCTTTAGCAACATGTAGTACATTAACTCCAGAAAAACACAAAAGATTGCATGTGATTTGCTTTTTACATGATAAAACTTCTTTTATCATTGTAATGGAATGCATTTATAAGCCCTCATTCCAAAATATAGGTTCAGTCTGGTCATTTCCAATGAATTTTTTTGATATTTTATAAACGAATACTTTGAAATACTGTTAAAGATCCCTGAGATGCTGGTGTTCAAAATGAGCTAAATTTCTTTATAATTCTGCCTTAATATAGTTATTATAAGAGGACATCTCCTTGAAAAAATATGCATATGTATACTTGTATGTGCACGTGCATGTGTTTATTCATATGTGTGGATTCCCGTACATGCACACACATATATGCAGTTGTTTTACAGGTACAAAACAGCTGTATAGTTAGGGTTTTCTATTCTATTTGTTGTTTTGGGTTTTCTTAATAAGTGACTCCCAACACAGCATGGGTGCAGTGAAATGCCTTAGGGGATGTTAGCTCCAGCAGTGTTCATCAGACCCTGCCAGTCATTGCAAATAAATCCCAAGGAGAAAACGGTGTAGCCGCTATGCAAGTACTGTTCTCCTAGTTCCCACCCCCTGCCTGCCGCCCTGAGCCTTTTTTAGACAGAAATCCCAAGCCATTGATTGTATCCACAAATAGTGAAATAATATTTCTAAGTAATATTTGAAGAGTACTTCATATTTTCCAAATTGTGTTCATGCATCAATTTTTTGAATTTTAACAACAGCCTTATGAATTGGATATCAACACCAATTTGCAATGCTTTGATGAAAATCACACATTTGCAGGCAGATTGTGAACTGGAATTTGGATGTCCTTTTGGTCACCCATTCCACTCATCTTAGGATGAACTTAGAATTCAAAGATTGGAATGGTGTGTGTTTGTGTGTGTGTGTGTGTGTGTGTGTGTGTGTGTGTGTGTGGTGGCGGGGGTGGGGAGGGTGTGGTTCAAGGCCTGTTTGTAAAAGGGGCATATTGATCCTTTTGAGTGTGGGATACAAGGAACTGTGACTTGTTGCCAAGGCTTAAGACTTTTAGCTTTATCAGAATCCTGTTAGCCTCTGATTAATAAGACTGATACTTTTTCCATTTGCAAATTTATGGGAGTAGCTAGGCTCTAAAT